GCACTGACAGTGTGCAAAGGGAAAGTTGTCAGAAGAGTAACTGAAGTCCAGAGGGACAGATGATGAAGTATGTTGAGTTTAACATGAAGCACTACCCCTTTAAGTTTGGAACTCCTTGTATATTGGGAAAGTAATTGTAACAAAGGATATAGATTTGGGGATTGTCTGGATAGCAGCAGCAATTGAAACCCTGCAGTTGGTTGAGATTTACAAAGAGGATTCTCACATAAGGGAGGCTTTTCGCCAGCACCCCAGCCAGGAGTCATTTTCTCCCCTGTGTGGGAGTAAGAAGTGGTACATACCTGGACACCGCCACCAGCCAGAGTCTAGAAATTCTTGGTTTTCAGTCTTCTCACTTGATGATACATTCATTGTCAGAAACATCTTTCTGATCAGCATCAGTCTGGGACAGTTTCTCAACCTCTTTCATCTTATGGAATCATAGGATGAAAATAGGTATATTGTGGCATAAAAAAGGGTTTTGAAAGGTGTTGGGTAAAACAAAATGAAAATTATTTATTGCAAGGCTTCTCTGGGCATCTAGTACACTAGCACAGTGTGACTATCTGGGAGGGGACAGGGAAAAAGAAGAGGGTAGTATTTCTCCTGGATCTTCGGATCTCTGAAACAATGTAGAGATCTGCTCTTGGTTCCCTTTGTCATGTACCCTGGCCCCAGACCCCTCATGGAGAGACTCGTTACGTGCAATCTTAACCATCTTTATTTTCTGTTCATTCATTGATAAGAGGCACTGTCCAGAACCCAGATGGCAGCTACCTCAGTGTCTTTTGTGCTCTTAGAAGGAAGAAAAGTTGGCCCGCCACAGCGTTCCTTTTCTGGAGACTTCTTACCTCCTCCCCAGCCCCCTGCATCCTGTACGGCGCTCTCCACCAAAGTCCCTCCATGGCAGGCTTCTCAGGCCATAGCCAAGGCTAGTTAATATGTGCCTTATTGAAAAGTCATAAGACTATATTCTCAGAGTACGCCATGTGTGAGCTGTTCACTAAATCATCTTGGCCTCATGCCCCACTTGGTGTGTCAGCGTGGTTTGGCTCCAGGGCCAGAGGCAGTAGGAAGGGGACAGCTTTTATACCCTTGTACTCCACTTGAGCTTGGCATGGCACAGAGGACAGGTTGAGTCCCTGGAATCCTCACCCCAAAGATCTGCTTGGCTTGTGCCAACTTAACTCCCCTGACCTACTCTGTCTTTCTTCCCAGGTAAGAGCATCTATGGAGAACGCTTTCCCGATGAGAACTTCAAGCTGAAACACTACGGGCCTGGCTGGGTGAGCATGGCCAATGCGGGCAAAGATACCAACGGCTCCCAGTTCTTCATCACAACAGTCAAGACAGCCTGGCTGGATGGCAAGCACGTAGTGTTCGGCAAAGTTCTAGAGGGCATGGTGAGTTTTGGAGGTGGGGGCTAAATGTGACACAGACCCTGGGACCAGGGCTCCATATATTTTATCCCTTTCCCAAAAGAGAACCCACACATTCAGACCAGTGTTCCTGTCTGCAAATCTGAGGGGACTTAAGAATAAATAGCCTACCTCTCTATGCCCCAGGGTTCTGAGTCCTTCCAGGCAGAGTCCCGCCAGGAGGCCTTGCTCAGGTTGCACCACTGCAGGGACCTCTGTTGTCACTCAGTGATGCACTGGCACCACCCTGAGTTGTACAGGGCACGATGTCCCTGAGAAGCCACTTGGTACCCACTCCCCAGCCACCCTCTTCCTCTTCATCCTTCACTTAACCTGGGTCGTGCTTCAGAAGATCAAACTGCTGCATCCTCTTGTCAGACCTGGGTTCTCCCTACCTTGGGCTGGCACCTGGCCCTGATTTCGTTAATTTTTTGGTGCCTTGAGATTTGTTGGCTGCTCATCACGACTCAGTCCCCTTGAGCCACATACTGGGGCCTGTCTCTCTTGAGTAGCAGACCTCCTGACCCACCCCATTTCCTGCTCTTGTCTTTCCTTCCCAGGAGGTAGTGCGGAAGGTGGAGAGCACCAAGACAGATGGTCGGGACAAGCCCCTAAAGGATGTGGTCATCGCAGACTGTGGCAAGATTGAGGTGGAGAAGCCCTTTGCCATCGCCAAGGAGTAGGGCCCCAGGGACCTCTTTGAGCAACTGTCTGCAGCCCTGTTGCCCTCTTGAGGGGTGAAGACAGCCCGCCACAGGGCTCTGCTGCACGGGCCCTAGTGCTGGCATCTGACGGAGTGGAACCCCTCCCCTCACATTCCACAGGTCCACAGGCCCAGTTTTATAACAAACTCCTACCAACTGCTGACCAATAAAAAAGGTGGGTTTTTTTTATAACCTGTGTGTGCTGGGTTCTTGAGCCTGCAGCACTTTTCTCCAGTCCTGTGTCCCAGGCTGTCTGGGATTCCTATGTCAGTGGATGCCTGTCCCCTACTCCTTGTGCTCCAGCCAGCATCCTTTCCCCAAATGTTACCCACCAATCGTCCAGCAGGAGCTTTTGCTCCTTGCTTCTCAACTGCCAGTTACTGTGCCTCAACTTTTGCTTGCCCCTTTCCTGGTGTTAGTGAAGAAACACACCTGTTCCTTTTCATAGCTACCTCGTAAATTAACTTTTCCCTTTATCCTTATCCTCTGTTGGTCCTCTGGCCCCAAGGCTCTAAGGGTGCAGGAGTTCTGTCACCCCAGCTACCAGTGCAGCTGATTTCAGAACCTGGGGTGGGTAAGTCCTCTGTCCAAGGGGTACCCAGCCCATGTCCTTTGATGGGGCTCACAGGACTGAGGCAAATGACTGTCCTGACATGTGGTCCAGAGGCCTCTGGGATGGGGAGGGCGTCAATGGCAGAGGTGCAGAGTGACAGGGAGCCTCTGGCTGGGTGTCAGCTGTGCTGGTGCTGAAGCCGTAGAAGCCCTGGAGCACACCATTCACCACCATGTTGGGCAGAGGCTCTAGGACAGGAGGAAAACAGGAAGGAGAAGGGCGTTGCAGGGGAAGGGGAGGTGTGGGATGGGCCCAACCTCAAGCCTGCAGCTCCCTGAGCCCCTACCCACTGGCTTAGCCCCCTTGGGAGCAGGAGCCCCTGCCAAGGCGGCAGGTCACAGCTAGTCACCCAAAATGAGGCCAAGGCATTCCCAGTTTACATTAGCTTGGTAAAGCCAGGCTGGTGAGGAATGCAAATCGGGAGAGCCCAACTTACTACACCATGTTTGCTCCTTGGAGAATACGAAGCAGGTTAGAGGGGCACAGGTATGATCCCAAAGAAGAGGAATAATAGAAATGCTGTCTGGGGGTCCTGGAAGCTGAAAAATGGCACATTCACCCCTACTCCCTGCTACCTAGTCCCTAAATATGGGTTATAGGTCAGAGGCACCCACCCCCTTACCTGGGGATGGGATGCAAATGTAGGGATCCATGCAGAAGCTGAATGCAGGCCTGTGTTGCAGCTGTGCCCTAGGCGGAAAAGGGGTCATGAGCAGTGAGTGATGGGGGAGGTGGGGCAAAGTCTCCCATTGGGTAGAGACTAGGAATTGAGATCACCAAGGTCCCACAAAGAAAAAGGTGAGTCTATGGCCATGCCACCCTGAAAAAGCTGGATCCTGTCTGATCTCGGAAGCTAAGCAGAGTCGGGCCTGGTTAGTACTTGGATGGGAGACCACCTAGGAAGGCCAGGTGCTGTAGGCTTAAAAAAATAAGGGATTGTAAGCTGACAAGGTCTTTTCAATCTGTGAGGTCAACCAAGGGTTGCCTTGCCTAAACAAATAAAAAAAAATGAACAAAGAAAGGTGAGTGGGCAGTGGGCTCAGGAGGCACCAACAGGAAAACGTGGACCAAGAGGACGGGCAAGACTAGCCAGAGGCAGCAGGCCTGCCTCCTAGCATGTAGCCACCAGGGGGCAGCAGAAAGCCGGTGCTGGTAGGGGCTTTGACTCGCCTGCTGTCGCTAGGCAGGAACTCCCCCAGGGTGCTGAAGAGAGAGGCTGTGAGTTGGATCCCCAGGGGAGTGTGAGGAAGGGGTGGAGACATGGAAACCCAGAACGTCACCTCCCAGGAGGGCACGGTTTCTATTTGTAACAAGCTCAGTTCCGGTGGCGGCTGCCGTAACCAAGGTTTTCCAGAAAATAGCCCTTCCCCTGGGGTCAAGAATGCTGACTATGGAGCTCAAGTCTCAAAGTGAAAGAACTAGGCTCTGCCCTAGCAGATGAGAGAAGGTACAGGACTTGGCTTCTATAACCTTCACCTGCTTACTGCAGGAGCCCCATCCCTCCCACACTGGGGCCCCTCATGGCAAGCCATTGCCCCCAGAGGTGCTCACCCCCAACTGGTCTTCGGGTCTGTGGGGAAGAGCCGAAGACTCAGAAATTCCAGTAGCTCCTTGGGCACATCCTGGTTCAGGTACAGGATGCCCTGGAGAGGATAGAGGAAACTTATATCAGACCCAGGTAATGTGATAACGCACAGCCCAGTGCAAAACGAAAACGGAGGTCCTGCCAAAATGGTTAAGAATTTCAAGACAGCCACAGCTCAGAGTTCGGCGTTCCTTAAACCAAGCTTGGGGCCCTCCTGAGCACTGGGCCCTGGGTGACTACACAGGTGTATGCCCATGAAGCCAGCCTGGCCTGTAATCTGACATCACTGTTGGTGGAGAGAGTCGCCGCCCTATATCTTCATCACGAGGGCGGCGCAGAATCTCACCCCAGAGGGGAAGAGAACTAGCTTTCATTAAACTGGGAGGCAGGTGGCCCCAGTTCAATGAAAGTTCAATAATTTAATTGACTTAAATTAATTTCAATTCTGAAATGACTGTTCAGGAAATTGAGGCTTGGGGTAGTAAAAATCATGCCCAGTATGTGCGTTCCCCTCACCCCATGCCCACCTGGATATAGGCCTCCAAGCCCTGTCGCCGCTGCTCCAATCCTCTGGTCCTCCAGTTGGGCAGGCGTTTCGAGGGGAAGTCGGGAACTTTGTACAGTTTCTTGATCTACCAGGAGGTTACCGCGGTACGATCACAGCGTTCCGATCGAACCCTCAAGCTCACTGCACCCTAGCAAGCGTCCTCCCCAATCTAACATCTCTTCCTCACTCCCAAAACTGCACGTTCTACCCTGGGGCAGACCCGGGTGAGTGGTGGTTGGGACAGGAGCCAGAGAAGCTCCAATCCCCACAGACGCCCAAGGGTGGGCCGGCCGCGCAGGGGCATGGACAGTACCGGCTGGGATCTGCCTCTCGGTGTCCACCTCGCAGCAAGCGAGGAAGTCAGTGCTTACGCACTGAATTCCCCCCCACCCCCCGCCCCCAGGGACTGGGGCAATAACGAGGGTGGCAGAGGTGAGGGCCGCAGCTCGTCTGCCTGCCTCCCGGGGCTGGACAGGAGCTGGGCCGGGGTCGGTCTGTTGGCGCCGCCTCACCCGCTTGTGCAGCGCTTGGAACTCGCTGTAGCGCCTCGGCACTGTGTGTCTGCGCCCGCGGCACCGCACCTCCACTCGGAACACCTGGTGGGCGCAGGCGGGCAGGCGGTGCGCGTGAGGCCCCGCGCCCAGCGACCACCCACTCTCCCGCGCTTAAAGGCATAAAGCGGCCTTGGAGCGTCGCCGCTCTTGGGGGACCCTCCTAAGCTCCCCACACTCTTAGGAGAAGGGGCGCGAGAACCCGCCTTCCGCTCCGTGTAGTCCCTAATGAGCTTGGACCGCTGTCCACCGGGCAAGCAAATCCCAGCGCCCCGAGACCCTCGGCAGACTGTACCCCGACGGCCTGGACTGCCACTTTTGAACGCCCTAGCCCGGGGCGCGGAGTCCCCACTGCGCTTGGCGCCAGGAAATCTGACGGGTCCCCGCGCCTCTTCTCACCCAGGACCCTCGCTCACCATGTGGCCTTTCTCTGGGCTCTGCCTGGGCGCTTCGGCCTCGGGCCCCACTGATGGGATGTGAACTTCCAGCATCCGCGCCACGGTCCCCGCTCCTCCTCGCGCGAAGCTCGAAGCCCGAAGTCTTTCTGCAAAGCGAAGAGACCCCGAAGGGGCTGGCCCCGCAGGCCCCGCCCCCACATGGCCCCGCCCCGGGCGTTCCCCGGCTCCTCCGAGTCCTGCGAGGGGCAGATTAGGCAGCGCGGAGTGCCGGGAGCCGAGCCTGCTTCTGGAACCTGGTGAGGCGGCAGTGCGCCGGGGGCACCCTTCGGTGGAGAAGCATCTATTTGTCAACGCTCACTGAGCGCCCAGTGACTGTCAGGAATGCAAGCGAGCCCAAAATTCACCTGTTCTTTGTTGAGAGGCTGTAAGCGCTAGGCACTGAGAGAGGCGAGACCCAGACCTCGGCTCCTACCTTGGGGACCAACCAGGAACGTTCCTTGCGTTCTTCACACCCTTCCCCGGAAACAGCCTGGCCCCCATCCCCTTCCCTCTGCCTTCAACCTGGACTCTGGGAGTGTGGCCACGTCTGCGTAAGGCTTGGACCCCATCTGGTTTTGATGTTCCCCCTCCCCCAGCATCCATAGCACCTTTATTTATTCATTCTTTAAATCCATTCATTCATCTTTCGACCCTAAACCAGCTTCAGGCCGTTTGCCAGAGAAGCAAGTTAGAAACCTAGGCTCTGCTTTGCGGGTCAGACAGCTTGGATTTCCCAAACTGTGTACACCTGTGCTCTTCTGCAAACTAGGGATAATATGCCTCCCTCAGGAGAGTGTATGAAAATTGAATGAGATGATCCCTGTTAAGCCCTCAGCAGAGTAGGTATTGAGAAAATGGCAGGTTGGGGTCTTGTCCTGGAAGTATAAGTTGGTGGTGTTAGTGTACAGGACAATGGATAGAGGAAGAGGGACTGTGAAAGGTGGCACTAGGCTGTTCTTGCCCACTCCTCTGAGCAGGGTCTTCCTGGGTATGTAGCAGGATTTAATCCATAACTCACCCCCTGTGCTAGAAAGGGCTCCACTCCCACCTCTCTGCCCTCCACCCCTCAGCCATAAGGGAGTTGTCCATTCAGTGGAGTCCACTCCACTGACTTTCTCCACAAAGGCCAGGTGGTGGACGGAGGGGAGGCCCTGTGTCCAAGAGATAACACCTAGTGGGAGGCCTTGTGGTGAAAAAGAGGAAGCAGAGTACCTATCTATCTTAGGAGGTGAGGTTGGAGAACCACTGACTCACTCTATTCACTACTAGTGCAGAGGTGCTTCTGAGCTAGAGCAGGAATTCTCCATTCCCAGCTCTGCCCTTGAGAGGTTGAGAGGATGACCCCGAGGTGAAAAGCAGGTCTCACTAATACTGTGTCCCATACTTTCTTCCATCCTCACAAGGGTCCTAGAATCAGGAATCCGAAACTCCTTGGAAGGGAAACAACCCATCATCAAGAGAAGTGCTGGAGTTTCATTTTCTCCCTTACAGTCTAGGGACCCAGTCACTCAGGGACCCTGCTCAGTTTGTCCTACTGCCCAGGGAGTCCTCTCTTGGGGATACCTAGACCTCTAAACTTGGTTATCCATCCTAACAACTGTCTGCCTTCTGTCTCTATTCCTACCACCCGGAAAACTTCTAGTCTCCAAATACATGTTTTTCCATGCCTCCCTCCATCATACAAAGTCCATCCTCTACCTAACAGCACAGACTGTCATTGAGGCATCTGTTGAAAACCTTCCAAAGGCTTCCCAATGCACTTAGAACAAAACCTACCCTCCCTACAACTCTACAGAGCTCTAAATGGCCCAGCCCAGCCTCCATTTCTCATCTCATCTGTTCTCCCCTCTTTGTGCACCAAGCTCCAGCCATAGTGACCTTCTTCCAGTTCTTCAAATCTAATGATTTCTTTCCTGCCTCGGGGACTTTGTATATACTGATTCCTCTCCCTGGAACACTTTTCCCTAACTCTTCACCTGGTGGGCTTAGCCTAAACTTCCAGTTCTTAGACTAAAACTCATCTCCTCAAAGAGGCCTTCCTCTCTGACTACCCTATCACCTGTCTAATGCACTTATTCCAATATGTAGCTACTGTTTTATTGTGTGTCTCCCTGGTTCCTCTGACTCTGCCCCAGACTCTGAGCACCATCAGGCCAGGGACCTAGTCTGCTTTCTCAGTGTTTGCCACCATGGTGATAAGCATGTAGTAGACACTCAAAAACCATTTGTTGACTGAAAGACTATATGAATAAACGAGGGAAGGGGATGTGAGAAAAGGCTAGGGAGAGGAAGGAAGGCCTGGGAGAAAGGCAGGAGGGGAGCAGAGGATGCCAAAGGGTTAGAGGAAGGTGGGCAGGGGGGATAACAATAAGAATGCTCTTTCCACAGAGTTAGATCTGTGTGTGCATGCAGATTGTTGTCCACCTTATTTATTTGCTTAATTTTCTGGTGTTCCTGAGGAGCCTCAAATCAATAGATTTTCATCACCAGTTATAGAGGGAGATTTGATGCAACTGACTTGTAAAATTCCACAGCATTCCATGGTGCGCAAATGAAGATCAGTGAAGAAAAACCAGATCCTTGACCTGGAGACATTTAAGATGTCTTCGGGGAGATAGAACAAGTTATGGAGAATACATTCCTGAAAGGAGGAACACATGACATGATGGAAATTCTAAAGCAGTTATTACAGTTGAAGGAAAAGTTTATTTTCCATACACTCTAATAATTGGCCAGTTCAGTATACTAACACTGAGCTAAGTTCCAGACTCTTCCAAGTGACTTCCATTTTTATAATGAGCTGTTTTACTATATAAATTCTTGTCTTTTCTCCATCACTCTTTACCATGAGAATTTAATGTCTAAGTTTCTGGGTGAAAGTTGGTTAAAAGTACTGGTTGGTCACATATTCTTGGTCAGGGTATTTCCAGGTCGGATTATAGAGCAATGGTTCTCGAAGTTCAGCAAGCATCATCATCAATGTGGCCTGTTAAATCTCATATTAGAGGATCCTGACCCATTTTCTGAATGTGTAGGCCAAATGTGGAGCCTCATAATGTGCATTTTCACAAGTTCACTGGTGATGCCGATGCTCCTTGTTGGGGACCACATTGTAGACACAGGTCTCTTGACTCCCACAACAGCCCCACCAGCAAGCGGGGCCACTCTCACCCTACTATGCAGACTTGGAGCCTGGAGACGAAGATCAAGGCCCAGAGGAAAAGAAGGGCTGGGGCAGAGGTGCCTTTCTGACATATCCCCCACTGGGGGTGGTGGCTGGTGATGGAATGGTGTATAGGTGGGCTGGACCTTGGTTCCTGCCCTGGCTTGGGCCTTCACCCTCTGCTGCCAGTAAACACAAAGCCCCCTTCACTGGCACTGCTTCTGCCAGGATGTGCAGCTGTTCAGGAGGTTTGGTTAACCCTGTTAAGAAAACAAACAGCTCCTTGGCCTTGGGCTGGCGAGCACTGCTGGGCACAGAGGCTGGATTCTTTTCCTGGGCGGGTGGCCAAAGGCGGAAAGCCAGAGGCTGAGGGCCAAAGGCGGACCAGAGGGGGCCCAGCTCTGCAGGGCTGCCTGAGTAAGGTGGCCAAAGGCGGAAAGCCAGAGGCTTAGGGCCAAAGGCGGACTGGCCCAGAGGGGGCCCAGCTCTGCAGGGCTGCCTGAGTACCCCTGGGCCTGGACTGCTCCACCCAGGCTGGCTCTCTGGTCACCTGGGCAACCTTGGACAACTCCCTGTGCCTTGAGGTCCTTGTTTGTATGAGAGAGAGCTGTGTGGGTTAACTGACATCATTCTTTTTAAGTGTTTAGCCTGGGGCTGGCACACAGCAAATGAGTGTTAGCTATTCTTATTTGACTAAATAATAGGAATTTGCTGTTTTATAGGTCAAAACTGTGGGGTATTGGAAACTACATATGAGTCATCCTATATATTGTTACTGATTCAACTTTGAAACAAAACCAAAACCTACTATTCCTCTTTAGTATCCTGAGATTGCAAGGTTAAACATACACACATTACTACTACTACTACTACTACTACTACTACTACTATTTCAACTACTAACTCTGTGATCAGGATTTCCTGATTTTCTTAATATTGTACAGCCAAAATAAGGTAAAAGAATAAATTGGAAGCAGAGGTTGGTGTAAACTAGCAACTGTCCTCTTCATCCTAACAGCCTGAGTAGTTATTGCTTGCCTTTTTAATAAGCATATCTTATAAATTTGAAATAATATTTTCATGTTTGAAATACTGGACTTTGGTGTAGATGTCTAAAAAAAAAATAGTTCTGCTGCTAAAACATTTTAAATTATTGAGCTAGTCTAGACTCTTTATTTCACAGATGAGGAACCTGAGGTGTGAGGGGAAGTGGGCCCTGGAGAGGCTATATTAGGAAGGCACCTCTGACAAGTATGTCCTGCCTGAGACCCGAAACCACAGTTTGGCTCAGGGTAGGCTGGTGACCTGCTTCTCAGGGGACAGGTAGGCTCCAGTCCCAGGGCTCCAGCGAGCAGTGTCACTCCTATGGGTCAACTGTCCCCTGCCCAGACAAGAGGCAGCTCAGCTGCTTCAGACAACCTGAGCCAGGGCTGGAGCAGGGGGAGCTGGCAGAGAACCCAGCTACTTGGCATCTAAGGCAGCACAGCTTCCCAGTGGAGTGGGTTTTGGTGCTACAACAACTCTGAGTACCCCTCAAGAGTGAATGTCAGTGGACCAACCAATCAGTCCCTCTGGTGTGCCCAGCACTTGGGTTCAAGGAACAAAGACGTGCACAGATACTCTCAAGTCATGGGGTTTTATCGTGAAGAGAGCTGTGGGACCAAGAACTGAGGACAACAGGAAAGGCTTGCCAAAGGCCAGAAAGGGCTGCAGCCCCAGGCCTCAAAGATTGGAATAGAAGTTCTCTAGCCTTCCACTTTAGCCCACTCTACTGTCTGTGGTTTCTCAGCATTAATGGTCCCCAGCTACTCACCCAAGCTGTTTCTCTGTCTTCCAGATTCTGCTCCTGCTACCAAACTGGGCCACACACTGCATGTCTAGGGAGAGAATATCTCACAGGGGTCAGAGAAGCTCAAATGCTTACAAGGTGAGGTGGGTAACTTGTCCTTAACAGGCCTATTATATGAATTTATTAAGGTCTTTAAGAAAACAATTTAGTGGGTTAACATCTAGGTTCCTGTTGTTCACCCTCTATGGATCATGTGGGATACGGTACAGCAGATAAGCTGAGTCGGGTAGTTTGGGTTCAAGTCTTAGCTCTGGAGTGTGAACTTTGGCAAGCTTCTTAAGTTCTCTAAGCCTCAGTCTTTGGAGATAATAATGCCCACCTTGCAGGGACATGGTGAGGGAGGTTTCAAAGCCCCGAGCACTCTGGCACAGAATAGGTGTTTAACACATGACAGCTCTTACTGTTTGGCCGTGGTGGGGAAGGGACTATCAGGGACAGTCTGGACCCTGCTCTGTACCTGCTCCTAGCTGCCAGGTACCTTACCATTTTCTGGTGAGGCTGCTGATGTTCCGGTGGAGAAACATACTGGTTGGGCCCCTGAGGTTGTCACTGCTGTCACTCAAAATGGAAGAGGAAGCTGAGAGCACTGAAGCTAGGAGGGGGCAGTCATTTGGAAACAATCGTCACATCCCTTTAGGGAAAGGTCCTACCTCAAATTGGACAGAGTTTTTCTTTGGGGTTTTTCTGTACCCAGACAAAGTACATCCTATGGAGGCTGAGCAGCTGGCTTGCTCTGAGCAGCCTTAGCGGGGGGAGGAGCTTTCTGTCCCAGAGGTTTGGTCACCACAGCCACAGGTGGGCAGCCACAGGTGCATTTCCACAACTGGACAAGGAGAGCAAAGGGGAGGAGGCAAGCCTGCAGGTCCTACCTGGGGCACCACAGCAATGCCTACTAAACCCCAAATCAGGGCTGACTTCTATTATCGCTTGAAAAACCCCAACACCTTGGCCTATTGGCTCATAAAATAATAATCACCAAGCTTAAGGGCAGCCACTGCCCCTCAGTCTGCCTTTCGGGGTGGAGGAGGGCACCCAGAGAAGAAAGAACTACAGTCCATGATCTTAAGGAGTTCAGAGCCCAGGAGGCTAATGAGATCATCTCAGAGATAGCATTACACACAAGGGTGAGAAATACCAAAGTTTAAGATAGTGCCTTGCCAAGAGCTATAAAGGAGGCTGGGCTTCCATTCTAGTCTGAGGGTAGGATGGAAAGTGGGTCAAAGAAAGCTTCCCAGAGAATGTACATATAAAGTAGGCCTCAAAGGATGGACTGGATTGTTTTCCCATAATAAAAATAGCTTTATTTAATTTTTATGATTATAAAATAATACATAGAAATTCCAAGCAACATAAAATGGTATAAAAATTTTAAATCATGCAAAATTCCAACCCTGGAGGCAACCATAGTTAACAATTCAATCTACATCCTCCCCATATATATAATTTTATATAGATGTGGACCATACATATAATTCTATAACCTACTTTTTTCACTCAAAAATGTTTTCCTTGTCAATGAATATAGCTATATATCATCTCCAATGACTATATAATATCCAATTGTATTACGTAGCATAATTCATCCCTTCCTGCTGTACATTTAGATCAACTTCAGTTTTTATAACTGTGAACAATGCTGTGATGGGCATCTTTGCATAGTCTCCTTCATGGACCTGGTTTCTAGAAGTGTCTATGAGAATCCCCTGTGAATGTTCTGACACACTGGCCAATGGCCTCCCTCTCTAGATACCTACACCCCCATCCACAATATGCACACTGTTTCAGACAGGCGTGGCTGAGACTGAAGAGAGGGATGGGAGCTGAGATGCTTCAGGTGTAAACCCATCATTAATGAAGACTCCTTAGGCTACATGGAAGTGAGAAAGGAAAGAGCATATTTAGAATCAGTTTCCATAAGGTTTCAGCATGGTTATGAAGGACTAGGAGGTAAACAAGGAAAGGTAAACTGGGGTCCTCTCACAGGAGGCTATGAATGCCAGGTAGCAGTCTGCAATTGGAGAATATTCAACAGTTATCTATTTGGTACTATTCTAAGCCCAAATCTCTGCTGGAGCCAAGGAGTTATAAAGCTGTATCAGTCAGAGAGTTTATTGTTTGGGGGAGAGAGCCAACATGAAACCACACAACTGAATAACAAAACATTGGCAGTTGAGGTACACACCATCCTCAGGGGCCAGAAGATGGGGATGAGCAGTTCTCACCGTATCTAAACCTTGGCTCAGGACTGACTCTACCCAAACAAGAAGCAGAGAATCTTAGCCAGTATCTCAGAAGACTGTGTTTAGGCTGGGCATGTGCCAGTTGTAGCAAAGGTGTGTCCTTTGTTCTGGGAGGGATCATCATTATCTTCCCCTTCCTTTCCTGTTCCCTCAGGCTGCTGAGGACTGATGACAATCCCACCACCTCAGGGCCTATATCCCTCAAAACTCATGGTCTTTGATCCATGTGGGCCCTAAGCATGCTCAGCAAAGGCCACTCCTTCCATCACCACGCTCTCTCAATCAGTTCCTTGTCCCATCTTTAGATTTCCCTTTTCTTCTCTGTTTTTAAAACTTGAGCTGGAAAGACATTCTTTTTTTTTTTTTTTTTTTGGATTTCCAGCTACAGGTGCATTCAGAATGAAAATCTTCTGGAAAGAGTTCAGTTATAAATACTTTGTACTGAAGGCTGGGGTCCCTCCAGGTTTTAAGTCCTTATCTTCAGGACTCTGGAGCCCAGAGAGATTCTTAGGGGGAAATAACCAGGCAAGTGTAGACTCATCTCCACACCTCTTCTCTAAATCATCTGACTCAAAATAGGTAAACAAGACATCCCTAACTGAAAATTATCAAGCAGGAGACCTTTACTCTCTGACCCGCCCCTCCCCCATCTTTCTTTTCCGCTCCCTGCTCTGTGCATTTGCTTCCAGATAGGGCTCTTACTGCTGTTTCCTTTCTCTCCTTTGAATTTTATTAACATGCTAAGTCTGACTCGCCTTTAAACAAAACAAAGCCTTCTTTCACTTTGTATCTCCCCACCTCTCAGCATGTCTCCCTTCCCATTCAGAGGAGCCTCTTAAGCACAGGGTCAGCAGTACTCATTGTCCTCACTGCTTGCCCTTCATTCTGCTTTAAATCTGTTTCGGCCTCTCCTGTTACCTGTGTCATGAAGGGCTTCACTGTCTACCCCGAAATCCATACCAGATACCTGCGGCTCATGCTAGTTTCCACTTTCTCCCTCAAAAGACCAAATCCCAGTGGCTCCATCTCCACTTCCTTAACCCCTCCCTTGAGCTCCAACCCCATTATTGCTTTCCCTAGCTCTCTGGCTAGCTAAGATGAGCCTGGCTGCTCTCCCTGCTTCCAGTCTCAAACCTGATGTCTAAATCACAAATATGACCATGTTATTTCCTGCTTTAAGTCCCTTCAGTAACCCCATACACTTCCAGGGTAATGTTTAAAGTGCCTCAAAAGTCACATCAGGTACTTTGTGACCCGGCTTCTGCTCATCCCTTTCCCATGGGCTGCCCACTGACTTGATTCCAGCCACCCTGA